ATGTGGATTCATGGATTTTTTTTTCACATTCTGTCTCTCACAGTTGAAGTGTACCTCTGGTGCAAATTACTGACCTCTGTCATCATTTTAAGTGGGGGAATTTGCACAATCGGTGGCTGACTAAATACTTTTTTGCCCCACTGTATAAGGTAAGAACATCAATGATGAAGATGATAAAGGAGCAGGAAAGTGAAGAAGAAGAGAGAGATTTAGTCCAATCTGAGCGGTCATCAGACAAACTACCACCCGTCACTTACTGAACAAACACTTATAGAACACAACATTTGATATAAAACAAACTGACCTGAATATGACTAAAGCATCATGGTGGTGGTTAGCACTGTCACCTCGCAGATTGACGGCTGTATGTTTAATCTTATCTGGAGTTTGGAGGTATTGCATCTTCTCTTTGCACCTATATGGGATTCGTCCTACAGATGTAATATTGTTTTAATTTCTCAAAGTTTACAGCGTGTGAACCTTTTTCAGTACTCATACTGCTAACTGTGACGACTGTCAGACCAACAGAAAACATGAAAGCATGTTATTTTAGGTAACGACATGTTAAAATATCACACACCTTTGGGGACTGGCTTACTCCAAAGCTCCTTTTTCTGCAACGTTTTGATGGTGGAGAGGCATGCTGGCAAATATATTACTTGTATTTCTTGATTATCCTCCCTGTCACTACAGTGCTGGCAAAACTTTGTTGAGCAGATATTTTGATGAGTAAGTAGCTTATGTTTTTGTGAAGCTCTGAAATATTGTTGTACTTTGAAAATGTGCACTCATACTGAAATATGTGTGTGTAATTCATGCAGCAGCTGGTCCTTTGGAAATTCTATAAATGACTGTGCTTGTTTGCTACAGTCACCCATCCAGTGTGTGAAGGCCCGTGGTATGGACTTCTCTCTTTTGTTGCATGCTTATAGACATTACAGTTGTCTTTATGTCATTTTAGCAATGTCAAATCTGAAGATGGTGATTATAGCATGAACTTAATTAAATATAAACTCTCTTCCTCTGACGTCTGACTGTGGTTGCTGTCCATGGTGCTGATCAAAAGCTGGAATGATGCTAATGATATTATTGATGTGAGTGTGTGTGTGAAAATGTCAGCATACTTGGCTTTAGATAAAAGCACTGTATGAATGTGTGTGTGTGTGACTTTGAGCGCTCAGATTAGAATAGAAAGATGTTATATAACATATCCAGTGAAAAAGATTCATAAATGTGAGTTATCAGATTAAACATATGTTGTTGGAATTCCAGAGAATTCCAGAGACATATGGAAAATCAACCAGAGGAGAGCAAAACATCCAAAAAGTTAAATTTAAAAGGTTAAAAAGGTTAAATTTATTAAAATAAATCAAATTATTACTTAAAATAATGAATTGATCTAATCTTTTACAAATGAAAGCTATTATTTGCTAGCGTTGTTGTCTCACAGCAACAAGGTTCTATGTCCAGTCTTTCCTTGGGACTTTCTGTGTATACTTTCTCTTTGTGCCTATGTACTTCTGAGTACTTCCAGTTACTCAGACTCAGGAAGTCTTTGGATTCTGTTCACGTTGAACTACTCTAAATGGTCTGTGGTTGTTTATCTAGTGAATAAGAATTTACAGTGAGTCAAAGAAAACCACAAAGTGAGGACTGGACCATTGGTTGTGTCCTGTTGAGGTAATACAGCTGTGGTCCGCAACAGCTGTAAATGTTCATGTACCTGTATAAAACTACACTATGTTGTGTTACTGGAAGCTTACATGTCCACTTTATGTCTCCTCTTAATGTTTATCAGGTGAAGCTACTGACTCTCAACATGCAAAAATCACACAGAAGGTCAAAGGTCTCCTCAGAGAGCGGCGGTCTTGCCTGTTCTGTGTTTTCCTGAGCTGCTCTCATTGTTATTTATAGTCTCTGTGAGTAATAATAATAATATTGCTTAAAACTACCATGTTTCTCTTGTGCCTTTGTCAGGTTCATGTGTCATAGCCTGTTTTTCCTGTTTTATTGTGATAGTCTCTTGTCCTAAGTGCATCATGTTCAGTTTTGCTTCCCCTTGTTTCATTAAGTGCATTCAGTTCAGCTGTGTCTCCCCAGGTATCTCCACTTTGCCCAGTTCCCTCTCATGCATTTAAACCCTTTGTCTGTGTTCATGTAACCTTAGCATTATGTTTCCTAGTTCCTAACTGTAATAAAGTGCTTTCATGTTATGTCTCCTGCATCCTGCACTTTGGCTCCAAACCCTGCCTTCAGCACTGAGGTACATGAGACCTTGGTGTAATACAGCTGTGGAAAGCATGTAGAACTGTGACAAATATACATGAAGTAACAGATACATGTTCTTGTATCTGCACTCAACTACAGTGTATGTTACAACCATCTATTAAATACTTACTGCCAATAAAGCCATTTTCTACATGCAAAGAATCATATAATGTTAAAGATATAAACTAAATTGTATTGTACGACATCTCTTTCTGCATTGCATTCCGAAGTTTTTATGTGGTTGCACAGGCTCAAAAAATAGCTACACTTATTTTCTATTTTTCAAGCAAAAAACCCCCAAAGAAATCAGGGGTGACTCGAGACTTTTGCACGGTACTGTACCCAGCGGCCATTCTTTCACACATCCGTTGCAGTGGCTAAAAGTTGTTTGATGAGGGGGAAAAAACTGATGAGGGGCTTAAAAGCTTTAAAGTCAAAATTTTTTAAAGAAGATTTTTTTTCCCTGGAACAAAAGGAGAATTTAATTTAATCAAATTTAACAAAATTTATAGAAAACTGAAAAGACTAATATTGATGCAGTCCAGAACCGCAATATTTCATCTCTGCTTTACTGGCCAGTTTCTCTGTCTGGAACTCAAAGTCCTACTTAATACTTTTTTTTGAGGCAGTAACCCCCCTTTGCCGTTCCAACAGAGGGCAGCATGTCCACATCTATGAAAATAAAACCAATCTTTAAATCAAATAAATGAAAACACAGGAAAACATCATCTGTGACCTCAGTTCAAGTCAAAAGAAATTATTTGTTAATCTGAATAAAATGAGAAATCAACATGCAGGACCCAGGCTGTAGTAAAAAGCCTGCTCATCTCCACATTTCCACAGGAAGTGTTGTAAGTGTTGCAATTCTCTTTTCTTCTTTTTTTTTTTTCTGAAAGCCCAAACCAGTGAGGTGCAGAGGACATTCAGTATGTGTCTTGATGCTCACAAGGTTATTTGATGTTCTGACTCTGCAAACTGAATCAGTAAAGATACAGGAGAAATAACACCAGGCTGTTGTATTTTTGTGATTCAGAGATAGTGACTAAGTCTGAAGTCAGGATCTCAGCATGACGAGCCGTCCACAGAGCTACATAGAAGGTAAGAACATTAAATGTGGAGGTAAATCAGTTAATCAGATCCGAGTGGTCCTTTCATATAAATTGAAGCCAAACTGGAGACTGAGTATGTTTTAATACATTAACATGCAACTGAGTAAGAGACGCAAAGAAAGCTTCATGAAGGTTTATGAAAGAACAAAAAAAGAGTCATATTTCCTGTTGGTCTAATGTAGCTGTGGTTCTCTGCACTAGAGTTGTGGTATATGCACCTAACTGTATTACAATGTATGTCAACCATGAATTAAATATCTATAAATACTAATAGGATCTGGCCATTCATACTAATAATGCATTTATAAAATATAAATTCATACCTTGTACACATATTACTACAGGCTGGAGGAAAAAATATGTAGCCTGTATTTATTTTCAGGCTAAACTGACACTTTAAGGTGAAGTATTGCCAGAAATAATAGATAAACACACAGTTAAAGACATCAAATGATTTCAAGGTGCTTAAGGAGGGGGACAGGATGTGTGATGTGACTGCTATGAGCACATTGTCATTTACTGAACTGTGGTTTTCCTGTCCTTGTAAGAAAGATTGTTTAAGCAACTTTTAAACCACATTAGAAACTTTGTGTAAAACTGAAATTCAAATATATTACAGAGGACAGACAGATATATTGATGTGACATCAGAGGAGCTGTTTGGAGTCTGGTGGGATCATGTGTCACAGTTGTGTTTTTATATAATTATTCTTTTGTACAGCACTTTGGTTCATTGTGGTTGTTTAGTACTTTACAAAAAAGCTGGTATAATAGTTGGTTATTATTTTGTCTAACTTCTCCACATCTATGTCCTCTAAATCTTCATCAGGTGAAGATCCTGACTCTCAACATGCAAAATCAAAAAGAGGGTCAAAGGTCACAACAGAGAAAGTTGCCCTGCTGGTTCTCGGTTCCCTCCTGGTAGTTGCTTTCGTGGTGGTTTATCGTCTCTGTGAGTGTCATTTCACTTCAACAGAATGACCTGATTTACTGTAGATTTAATGATGATGAAAGTTTCAGTTGGTTGAGCTGTTTTAGTCCAGCTGATGTGTTTTACTCTTTCTTAGCAGAGTTGTCGACTAACATGAACTTTTGATTTCCTTTAATCAGCTTTTGAACACATTAGAACAAAGGAAATGCTCAAAAATCTGGAAGGTCTCAAAAAGGAGTGTGAACGTGTCATCAAAAATCAAAATCTCACAGGTAAGCAGAGAGACTGGAACTCTCTTAACTCTGTTAAGAGTTCTCTCAGCTGGATGTTAATCCAGCCTTGCTTAAGGAACATTTTTAACCATCATGAAGATTTTTATAACTTTAGTGGATTTGAAAAAAAAAAACCCAAGACAAATAAAAAAACAGATGACCCTGTTGAAAAATTGATAAAAGCATTTCTTTTTCTTTTTCCTAACAGAATCAAAGCCATGTTCCCAGCCTGAAGTAAAAATAAGTAAGCTATGGATTTTGTTTTGACATGTGTGTATCCTCTGATGCAGTTCTGGATTTACCCTGCTTTAGGCTGAGTAGGTTATAGATGTGCTATCCTGATCAGTAGGTTGTTGGTCTGAGTCCCTGTTTTGATGATTTCTGAGATTATTGTTTTTACACAATCTCCAACAAAAAAAAAAAACATATAGTGAATAAAAACTTCACCCAAATAATATTTATATTATACAATTTTTTTACTGATTTATTGGGTCCACATATTGTAGCTGTACAATTTGGGTGTCTGTAGCTCAGGAGGTAATGCAGGTTATCTGCTAATTGGAAGGTTGGTGGTTTGATCACTGGCTTCTCCCGTCTGCACACCAAAGGTATCACACAAGATGCTGAACCCCAGTATGTGGATGTTAGATAGAATGCACTAGGTGTAGAAAATGTGCTGATATGAATGGGTGAATCAGGCATGTTGTATAAAGTGCTCTGAGTGTTCCAATATTTCAAAATAGGAATATATATATGTATATATACACACGTATGTGTGTGTGTATTATCAGAAACACAGTTAATAGACAAAGATAAAGGCTCTCTGCACGGTGTGCTACTTCTTTGAAAAGAAGTTCAAATACTGCTGGAATGAATGTGGTCACAGTCAAGCAATTTTTTTTCATTGTTTCACAAGCAGTAGGGCTGTGTGTGTGTGTGTGTGTGTGTGTGTGTGTGTGTGTGTGTGTGCATGCGTGCAGCATTTACTTCTTCCTGTGGTAACATGAGTCTTCTCGCTTCAGATTGGTGGTCTCTTGTTTTCCGATCTCACCTCAGATTTCACCTCTGTTCATGTAAAGAGAGTGGGTAGTAGAAAACGCTGAACCAGGCA